GGTGGTATCTCGTGCTTTGATTTGCATTTTCCTGATTTAGTGATGCTGAGCATCTTTTCATGGACCTGTTGGCTGTCTGTATATCATCTCTGGAAACATGTCTCTTCAGATCCTCCACCCATTTTTAAATGTGACTGTTTTTGCTGTTGTGTTGTATAAGTTCTTTATATATTTTGGACGTTAACCCTCATCAGATATATGATTTGTAAATATTTCCTCCATCTTTTTCTCAAAAATGGGGATAATGACACCACTTCCCTTGTGAATATTTAGACTTCTAAGGCACATCCGTTGGTGAACTTCATGCCAGTCTCCGAGTGGGTGCTCTGTGTGCCAGCCACCTGGTTCTGCTACTGCTCCTCTTCCCTGTGCCACAGGGGGTGGGATGCCCCCATGCCCAGCCCGCTCCTGTGCTGAGCTTGCTTAGGAAACAGAGTGGGGGTGGCTCAAAAATAAGGAGTATGAGTAGCTAGGTCATAAAAACACAAAATCGATGTGTGCGGGGTTGTGATAAGTGCTGTGGGAAAATTAGGGTCAAGAAGGGGTATGGTTGTGGTGGGTGATGTGGAGTGAGGTTTAATTTTTCTTTATTGATTCCAGAGAGAGAAGAAGGGAGAGGGAGAGAGAGAGAGAGAAACATCGATGAGAGAGAACATCGATCGGCCGCCTCCTGCATGCCCCCCACTGGGGATCGGGCCACAACCTGGGCATGTGGCCTGACCGGGAATCGAACTGGCGACCTGTTGGTGCAGGGTCGACGCTCAACCACTGAGCCACACCGGCCGGGCTTGGAGTGAGGTGTAAAGAGAGCAGCAGCAAGGTCCCCCAAGAGGGCAGCATCTGAGGAAAGTCCTGAGGAAGTAGGAAGCTAGTGGTGTCAGGGTCAGGATGGCAGCTTCTCCAGCACCAGCGGGGCAGAGGGGACACTGGCACAAGGCCTATCCCAGGGCTGTCCGGTGATCGAGCAATGGCAGGGCGCACAGCGAGGCGTCCAGAGTGCTGGGAGAGAGGGCAAGGGGCTTGGAGGGCCACCGCGAGCGAGGACTCTGCTGAGAGGCCATTGCAGGATTTTGAGCAGATGGTATGAGCTGGTTTGGGTCTTGACTGGGTCACTGACTTAGTCTCCTATCTACACCCAGAAAAGACGAAATGGAAGAAACATATGTTTCAAGATACTGGACATTGGGCAGTGACAGACGGTGCCCCCCAGAGATGGGAAGCAAATGGCGTGAGCCCTGCCCCTGCTGCAGCTGACCGTCCTGAGAGTCTCCAGGCTGCGGGAGGGAGGGAACCCGGGTGGGGACCCAGGACTCCGGGAGCGGGGTCAGAGCGTGGGGACTGGGCGCTGGTGCACCAGAGTTCCCGGGGCAGGAGAGGGCTGCTCAGAGAGAATGGCTGTCTTGAGACCCCATCCCCTCATGCATGGGGCACGTTTCTGATTTTATTCACCTCGAAAGCCAGCTTTTGTTTTAGTGACTTTGTTGTCTGTGTCTTTGTCTCCGTTTTTCTGGTTAACACATTTTTGAAAGGGCTGGAGTTTTGGCTTTGAGTGCAAGTGGTCCATGCACTGCCGTCCACGCTGGGGCTGTGCAGTCGGCAGGCCTGCGGCGGGGCTGGTGGGGGACAGCACAGCCACACCCCAGAAACGAGGCTGGCGTCTGGAGCCCCCACCTAGTACAAGGCAGTAAGGGACTAGTAGGGACAACTTTACACCAATAAACTCAACAATTCAGATGAAATCAATTCCTTGAAAGCTACAAAGTACCAAAGCTCATTCAAGAAGAAGAAACAGGTGCATATGTTAAATTACATGTGTGATTCAAAACCTTCCCCCAAAGAAAAACCCAGGTCTAGGTGCCTTCCCTGGTGAATTCTACCAAAGTTTAAGAAATAAGTAATAGCAACGCTGCACAAACTCTTACAAAAACATTGGAAAGGAGGGACCTTCAGCTTGTTCTGTGAGGCCGGCATTGTCCTGATACCAAACCGACGACGTTATAGAAAAGAAAGTGGAAGACCAATATCCATTATGAATATAAATGAAAAATTCTCAGCAAAACTTTAGCAAATTGAGTTCAACAATATCTAAAAAGGATAATACATCATGGCCAGTTGGGATTCCAGGGACGCAAGGTTGGTGTAAGATTTGAACATTCATCAACGTCATGGATCATGAACAGACTAAGAAAAGAAATCATGTGATATCTCAATAGATACAGAAAAGGCATTTGACAAAATCCGACATCCATTTCTGGTTTTAATTTAAAAAGCTTCCGTCAAACTGGAACTAGAAGAGAGCGCCCTGAACCCGAGAACAGACGCAGACTGGAAACCCGCAGCAGATGTGCTTCACGGTGGACATGGAGTGCCTGTCGCCACACGATGAGCAAGACACGAATGTCACTCTTACCGCTTCCAAACATTGTGTAATTGAGGCTGTCAGCAGTGTGATGAGCAAAGAAATAAAGGGCACCCGGCTGGAAAGTGAGAACTAAAACCGTCTATTCACGGAGGTACAGGTGCCCGGGTAGGCGCACGGAGTCAGTAGAGAAAAGTTCGCCTGCCCAGCAAGGGGTGCGGGGGCAACTGCACAGCCCCGCGCGAAGGGCACACTCCAGTTCATACCTGGCACCACGTACAATAGCTCGCAGACCTGGCTCTAAGTCCTAAAGCTATGAAACTTCTGGAAGAAAACTTTTATGACCTTGGCTTAGATACAAAGCCAGAAGCAGACTCAGTAAAAGAAAAAGGTTGCTAAATTGGGCTTTATCAAAAGTAACAATGTCTCCGCTTGGAAATACACTGTGAACAGAATGAAAAAGGCACAGACTGGAGGAATATTGGCAGAGTGTGCATCTGATAAAGGACTTGTATCCAGAACATGTAAAGAACTCTCAAATCCCAACGAGTAATGAACAAGTGAACGACACATTTAAAAAATGGACAAGCCTGGCCAGTGTGGCTCAGCGGTTAGAGTGCCGCCCATGGCCAGAGCTGCGGGTTCAGTTCTGGCCGAGGGCACATACCTTGGCTGCAGTTCGGTCTCAGCCCTGGTTGGGGTCCCTCTCACATCAATGTTTCTCTCAATGTCTCTCTCTCCCCCTCCCCCTTCCTCCCTCCCACTCCATCTGAAGATAAATGGGAAATTGATTATCCTTGGGTGAGGATATAAAAAAAAAAAAAATGGACAAAAGACTTCAAAGGATATTTCACTAAAGAAGATACCTGGATGTCAATTAAGTACATACCAAGATGTCCAAAGCATCGGTCATTCGGGAAATGCAGATTCGAACACAGCGTGTACGGCTGCACACCCATTAGAATGGCTGCAAGTAGGAAGGCTGACCAGGCCACGTGCTGGCCAGAAAGTGGAGGACGGGAACTCGCGCACCGCCGGCGGGAATGTGACAGGTGCGGTCACTTCGGAAAACAGTTCGTGGCCATTCCTAAGATGTTAACCGTATGTCTATCGTATATACGTAGATAAACATACATGAAAACTACATCGAAAGTCAAACGCACAGGCTTAGAGCACTGTGGGAGCAGGGCCACAGGCAGGGGCCTCAGAACAGCTGTCAGCATCTGGGCAGGGAGGGCCCAGGTTTTGCAGATGAAGCTTGTATGAAGCCTGTGTGACTTGGGTGGCCATCTTTGAGACAATGAGCTGAAAGGGAGACATTCCATTAGCTGCAACCTGAGTGTTCCTTCAGGACAGACAAGTGACCACGCGAGTTCTCAGAGCCGGGGTCTCCGGGTCCCTTTCTTCTGAGTCATCTCAAGACGTTTCCAGAGAAGCTCCCCCTCCCCCGGGCACTCAGCCGCCTCAGCCCTCGTAGTCCATGTGGTGTCGGGCCCCAAAGGTGCTGAGTGTCTGTCCCTGTCCCAGTGGCGGTGCGCACGCCCATGACGCCCTGCAGCTGGCTGAGCTTGGGCGTTGCCTGTGCGTCCAGCAGGTCCACCGCCGCTCCGGGCCCAGGCTGCTGTCTGCCCCCGGCTCTGCCTCGGCCCCAGCCGCTGTGTCAGGGGCTGTGGGGCCCCAGGAGCAGGGCTGTGTCTGTAGTGAGAGGCTCCAGGGGCCCCCTAGGGCCCTGGCCGTCTTGTCTCCTGCTCCCCACCCTCCTGAGCTGGGGGCCCCCGGCCTCTCCTGCTTGCCCCCAGCCTCGGTCCTTGCTCCCAGCACCGCCCCCGTCCCGCGTGGCACTGCTGCGGCCACCTTGTCTGTGGGCACGGTGGGGACTTGGGCTGTGCGCTGGCTGTGTGAGTTCGGGCAGGTTCCCGGCCGCTTCCTCGTCTGCGACGTGCAGATGGTAGAAGTGTTTCCCTCAGAGTCGCTGGGAAGGTTCAAGACTCCCGCAGGGCAGGTGTGTCTGTTAGCTTTTCCCCGTTAGGTGTCTGCAGTTTCCAGAACAGTCCCAGGCAGGTAGCACGTGCTCGGGAAGCACTTGCCTCTGACGGGTCTCGTCCCGAGTGTCCCGTTCTCCCCCTGCGCCGACCCTTCGGGAGTGCAGGCCCCTGGGACCACCCCGCCACAGGCGGGCCTGGGCGGGCCTGAGGCTCTGGGACCTTGACAAGCCCATGGTGGTGGGTGTGTGTACATGAAGCCAAGACCATCCTTGAAAGTCCCTTAACTGCCTGCGAGGTTCAGTGCAAGTGGTTTACGTGCATCCCAAAGATGAGTCCTGTCCATGCAGACGGGAGCACCACTGCCCTGCCTGGAGGCAAAGTCAGTTCGCCAGCGGCTGCCCGAGCTGTCCCACCTCTGCCTTGAGAGGAGGGCCTAGTGTGCACCTGGCAGCGGGACAGGTGCAGGATTTGGGAATTTTACTCTGGGTGCCTCCAGTCTGCATGCTTTTTAAATAGTGCCCAGGGTGATTTTAATGATTCTGAATCCACGTAGAAAAGGATCAGGACCAGGGGAGAAAAGGGACCCGCTGGGCTGGAGAGCGGGCCGCCTGTCTGCGCGGGCCCCTGCGGTAAGCCTGTGTCTCCCTGTCTTGCAGGTGGTGCTGGTGAGCGGGAGAAGGTGCCGGCCACCCCTGAGGCGCTCCTGCTCATGGCCAGTTCTCAGCGTGACATGGAGGACTGGGTGCAGGCCATCCGCCGGGTCATCTGGGCCCCGTTTGGTGGAGGTACTGCCCGTAGCCTGCATGCTCACCCTCTAGAACCCCTGCGTCCAGGTACTCATGCCCCTCGCCCCGCTCAGGACGCCCCGCTGTGTCCCACGCTGCTCAAGGCAGGCAGTGCTGTCCCCTGTGCGGCTGGCCCTCAGGTGTCCCGGCAGGACCCCGGCAGGGGAGATGAGGCCACTTTTCGAGGACTCGCCCTCCTCCAGCTGCACAGCCCCGCAGCTTTGGGGCTTTGTCTTCGTGCTTGCCTCTGCGCCCAGACCCTGCGGGATGCCTGGGGTGAGGATGCCTGGGGTGCGGATGCCTGGGGTGCAGGATGCCTGGGGTGTGGGATGCCTGGGGTGCGGATGCCTGGGGTGCGGGATGCCTAGGGTGTGGATACCTGGGGTGCGGGATGCCTGGGGTACGGGATACTTGGGGTGCGGGATACCTGGGGTGCGGGATGCCTGGGGTGCGGGATGCCTGGGGTGCGGATGCCTGGGGTGCGGGATGCCTGGGGTGGGAGGTCCGTACAGCGGCCGGAGTGCGCACTCTCGGGGGCATATCCCACAGTTCTGCACAGCTCTCCCTCTGCAGCGCCGCTGCAGACATGGGGCCCCCCCCCCGCAGACACAGCCCCCCCGCAGGCACGGGGCCCCTGCGGACATGGGCCCCCTGCGGACACGGGCCCCCTGCAGACATGCCCCCCCAGACACGGCCCCCTGCAGACATGGTGCCCCTGAGAACACGGGGCCCCCTGCTTGCCCTCAGAACCACTCTGTCTCCTATGGGAAAGCAGTAGGTTCCACTTACTTCCTTCTGTGTGTGTAACCCTGCGGGCGCCCAGATATAGTGTCTTTGTCCCGACACTTGCAGTTCAGTGGTAAACGAAGCAGGCCACGCCCCCCCCCCCCCCCCCCGCGTCCTGTGGGAGACGGGGAGGCAGTGCCATCAGGGGGAGGACGGGGCGCCGGGTAGAGGCTGGAGCCCAGCCAGGGGACCCCGGGAAGAGCGCTCAGCGGACGGGGCAGCTAGTGCGAGGCCCGGGGTGGGTCTGAGCGGTGGGCAGTCTCAGGAAGGCCAGTGGGTCTGAGCGAGGACAGAGAGCCAGGACCAGAGGCGAGAGCTCACCCAGGCCTGGCACAGGGTGGACACTTCAGATTTTGTTCTAAATCGATGGGACATCAGGGAGGGCTCTGGGTAAGAGACAGTCACGACCTGACTTAGATTTATAAAAAGAGCCCTCTGGCTGTCTTGGGGGTGGACCATGGACGAGAGTGGACACGGCACTTGGGACAGCATGGGCAAGGTCACGGGCATGGGCTGGGGTGGGAGCTGTGGGGAGTGGGGAGCTGCAGGGGCTGCAGGTTTTGTGGATGGTCTGGACTCGGGGTGCAAGAGAAGGATGGCACACAGCTGGGCGGTTTCCGTTTGCATAGGTCGGTGTTCCTATGACGTCACCATGAAAAGAGCCTTCAGAAGGGATGCCATGCAGGCGGGGCGGGGCCACTAGCTCCCTGCTGAACGTGTGGACAGGGCCTTCGGGCTGCCCGGGGTCCGAGCGCAGGAGTCATGGGCACCCCCTCCCCACACAGTGTTTGACTGGAGCCCAGTCCAGACAGGCGGACGCTCATCTTTCAGGACCCTTCTCTCACCTCCCAGCCTCACCTCGTCCCTGCCTCCTTCCGTCCCCGCCTCCCGACCCCTGACCACCTTCCACTGAACCACGGATCTCTTGTGTGGAACAGTCGATATAACTGTGAAAGTCAAAGTTTTTCTCCCGGGCTTTATAAATGGCTCACACTATTAGCCATAGCCTCCTGCCCCTGATGATTGCAGCGACTGCGACCCACAGCCCTGATTTCATGGCCTGCGAGGACCCAAGCCCACCCAGGGCTTCTGCAGCCTCCGTGGGCTTCCCCCGGTGCAAGGTGATTGAAAGTGAGTTTACAGAACAGAATGGAGCCCAGAAGTAACTTCCAGGTAGCTGGGCTTTGCTTTATGACAGGTGGCACCTCTGAACACTGGCAGAGTACAGTGCGGTGGCCTTGGGGCAGAGAAAGGTTAGGAAGTGAATTAGAAAAAGCATTCATCTTGTGGGAAAAGATGGGGCTACACACAATGAAGAACATCTGTTCTTTAAAAGGCAGATGGAGAAAATGAAAAGACAAGCTATAGATTGGGAGAAGGTATTTGCTGCATATACAACCATCGAATGACCCCCTCCTCAGGCTCCTACACACCAGTAAGGCCAAACCAGTAGAAACTTAGGCACGAGACTGGAATGGCACTTGCAGCGCAGACCCCCCTGACCCGGGAGCACGGCAGCGGTCTCCCCCTCAGCAATCATCGGGGACATGCCGACCAAGCCCACGCAGTCCTGCTCACCCCCTCGCATGACGGGAAGGGCTGCAGGTTCCACGCGGCGATGAGGGCGGCGAGCTGCAGACACTCACACGTATGGCTGGGGGCCGTCCTTGGCCGGATGGGAGATGGGTGCTGTGCACACCTGTGCTCTGGGGCTGCCCTGCGAGGCTCCAGAGGCACAGGTGAGCCAGGACACTGGCACACGCCCCAGCAGCCCTGGGGATGACGGCCTGACGCCCACCAGTATTCAACAACAACACGGGGGATAAACACATGGGATTCCTTCTTACAACAGAAAACTCCCAACAGTGAGAATGAGTTAATTACAGCTCTACCAACAAGCCCGAACCCTAAAATAGTATGGCGACCAGGGAGGCCTGGTAACGTGCTGTATGGTTCCATTTCTATAAAGTTATGTGAAGTTGCAAAACAGGGCAGAAGTAGATTATTATTTATGGAGAGATCACTAAGCAGCAAAGATATAAAGAAGAGCAAAGGACACCACAAAAGGGATGATAGTCCTAGTTACACAGGCGTTTATTTTGCAGCCATGTCTCTCCTGCATGTGTGCGTGTTTCACTACATGAAAACACAAAAAAGAAATCAAACAAAGAAGAGAAACGCTGAGGCAGAGAATCTAAGTAATTGCTCATGAAGCAGCTGGTCAGGGGTCAGAACTGAGATCTGAAGGCTGATGTTCTGAGCCGAAAGGCTGTGCTTTGTCCCAGCCCACGTAGGGCCCTGTCTCGCGTGGTCTACCTGCACCCCTCCTCCCCTCCCCTCCCCTCCCTCCCTCCTCCCCTCCCCTCACCCCCCCTTCCCTCACCTCTCCCTCATTATTAATGATGATTAATTATTAATAATAATTATAAAGAGGCATTATTAATCAGCCTCCTCAGGCTGTGTGCTGAAGAAGTTGCAAGAATTAAGACAGGAACTGTCATCAAAGGTGCTGATCTCCTCTCTCCCAGGGTGTAGAGGAGCAGAGACCCCAGGGTCAGGGATGGCAGGCATGCCCGGGCAAGCATGGGCACTCGCCGGCGGGCTCGGTCGGCCTCTGCAGGTTTCCTGGCAAGGCTGTTATTAGCCTGGGTCCCACTGGAAGGAGGCTTAGCGGGTCAGCCCCTCACTGTTTAAGAAAGGAGGCTGAGGGCACTTTCGAGCTTGTTTGTTCTGGCAGAGAGCGGGCCAACCCTGACAGGTGCGTGGGCAGCATGCCTGCGGTGGTCGGGAGCCTGGGCATCCCCACAGAAAACTGGGGCAGGCCAGGGGGTCAGGGAGCCTGTCCCTGCGGGTGGCCTGCCAGGGCGAGCTCACTGGTTCATTGCTTCGCTCAGCCAGTCAGTCATTCGCTCAAGAATGTGTTCCAGGGGCTGGGAATGCAGCAGTGAGCAGGGAAGACCAGGCCCTGCCCGCCCCGGAGCTCGTGTTCTGTGGAGGAGACAAATAAACAAGTAAACCCATTGCGGGTTGATGTGATGAGCTCAGTGGAGAAAGATAAGTTGCAGAGGGCAAGCAGGAGTGATGGGGGTCAAAGATTAGTGACACTTGAGTAGAGGAGGTGAAAGGGCGAACTAGACATATACCTGCATAGCCCTGCCTGATAGAGCACCAGCCTGTGCCCCAAAGGGTCATGGGTTCCATTCCAAGACCAGGGCATGTATCTGGGCTACAGGCTCCATCCCAGCTGGGGGGCATGTGCAGGAGGTAACCAACGGATGTGTGTCTCTCACATCGGTGTTTCTCTCTCTCCCCTTCCTTCCCTCCTCTTTGCAAAAAAAATCAGTGGGAAATATCCTTAGGTGAGGATGAACAAAAGCAACACCAAAAACAAACCAAAACAAACCTATACCTGGGCAGAGATTTGGAGGCAGAGGCAGGAGTGTGCGTGTTGGAAGAGCGGCACCGGCCAGTGTGGTAGGAGCAGAGTTGGGGAGGGGAGAGAGGAGGAAACAGGCCAGAGAATGGCGAGGTGGTAACTCAGCAGGGCCTTGTGAGCATGGCAATGGCTCTGGCTTTTCCTCCGAGTGAGGTGGTGCATGGACAGAGGCGTGGCAGAGCCCGCCTCGGGTTCCAGCAGAGGCCTCTGCTGCCATGTTGAGAATAGATGAAAGAACGAAGGACGACACAGGGAGACCAGTTACACAATTATGCAGGAGAGAGAGGATGGTGGCTTGGCCCAGGATGGTATTGGTGATGAGAAGTAATTGAATTCTTGATGTATTCTGAAGGCGGAGCCAGTAGTATTTCCCTGTTGGAATGGAAGAAAGGTGTAAGAGAATGAGAGACATCAAGGTAATTCCAACATGTTTTGAGTCAAGCAACTGGAGGGATGGATTAGCTATTAACCGAGGTGAGAAGGACCACAGGAAGTATATTTGTTTGGCAGGAAGATCAAGAGTTTACTTTGGGGCTTAGCCTGAGATGCCGGAGAGGGGCTGAAGCTAGATGTCAAGCAGGTAGTTGGACACTGACGTCTAGAGATTAGGAGAGAGCACTGGGTTGGGGAGAGAAGGTGGGGGTCATCAACACACACATGGGGTTTGAAGCCAGGAGGCTGGATGAGACACCACCAAGGAAGTATAGGGACAACAGAACCAGAGCTGAATCCTGAGCTGCTTCCCAGTAAGAAGTCGGGGAGCAGAGGAGGAGACAGC